ACTAGCCAGTACAAACACTGTAATACGCTTTCCTCATGATAAAGTTTTGTTGTTTTTGATAAATGCTTTCATGGAGATTTCACTAAAGCCTCATCATAGTCCTATGAGGTAGGTACTATAAAATCAACTGTATAGATAAAGAACATGCTAGGGAGATTGTCAGTTAACAAGCAGCCAGGACTGTGAAGTAGGTAAAGGTTAGTTGACCATGGAGTGTCCAGCCTAGTTGATAAATCTACAATACAAGCCCTACACAGAGGCTCAGGATACTGGGGGAGGGGAGGTTGTAAAAACCAGAGAACCAGGATGGCTGCTGCAAGACAATGTTTTCTATACAAGACAGGGAAGCTGCACTCATGAAACTTCAACAATATGATCGTCCAAACAAGATCTGAAAATGCCACCACCAGCTGACATTCGAACGTGGATGGAGGGAATCTCACAATGCCTACCTCACTCCTAGAAAAAGAGCTATAGGCAGCTAAGGGCTGCTGAGAGGGTGAATCAGTCTTCTCCAGGGAAGAGCCCTCTGATGGGTGATCCAATTCTAAGTGGGCAGCCCTAAACACATACACATATGGGCAATACTAAAAGGACTTGGCAGGTTGTACTTACACATGTCTGTATGTAACAACAGTACATAAGAGGTTTGAATTTGAGAGAGGACACAGGGAAAGCTGGAGGGAGGAGGGGAGGGAGGGAGTTATGTAAACATAGCATTCATATGTGAGATTCTCAAATAACATCCACCCCAAAAATATTCTAAACTCTATGGCCTTTTTCTATTATAACATAAAAGCCTCCGGGCGGTGGTGGCGCACGCCTTTAATCCCAGCACTCGGGAGGCAGAGGCAGGTGGATCTCTGTGAGTTCAAGGCCAGCCTGGTCTACAGAGGGAGTTCCAGGAAAGGTGCAAAGCTACACAGAGAAACCCTGTCTTGAACCCCCCCAAAACAAACACACAAGCAAGCAAGCAAACAAACATAAAACAACAACAACAACAAAAAACCCAAAAAACATAAAAGCCTGTCCTCAAAGTATACGCAATTTTGATAGGAAAGGTTAGAATTTCAGCTATCAGAGGTTCTTGAACAGAGGAAGAATGTGACACTACCCTGGAAAATGCTTAATCAGTATGTGCATATTAAATATCAAAGTAGGTCTACTAGGGATTTATTGAACTTTGATATCTATAAATTGATCAAAGCAAGCGAGGATGAAGAGCTAAAGCTGTCAGTACTCCAAGGATTAAAAAAAAAAAAGCAAAAATTAAGAGAAAAATGTAAGCAACTACTCAGCAAGTATTCACTCTACTCCCTCTGCTGCGGAAGACTTGGTGCTAGAGGCACAAAAACACATCCTGGCTGAACTTACGTCAATGGGATGACTGTGTAGAGAAAGAAGAAAGTGGAAACCAAAGCCTGAAAGAGAAATGATATGCCTCATCCAGGACACCACAGAGGCCAACAAGGCTGGACCAGAGCCATTTAAGATGAACAAGATGGCGACATTTGGGAGGATGGACTGAGGAGGGACAAAAGTCGAAGCCAGTTAGGAGGCTGATGCAGATGTCTACACCGAACTGAACTGGTGGATCGTAGTCACAAACAGATTTCCAAGATGGCTTGGTTGTGTATCAGGAGTGGGGGGAAAGCCAGTGAGTGTTTAGGCATTTTGTTCGACCAAATGCATGGTGGTTCTGTTTACCATGACAGGGACCACCAACTCAGGAGGGCCTGGGCTTAACTTTAATAGGAAAGATGAGTGCAGTCTGAAAAACGGAGAATGCAGGAGATTTCAGAATGCATCCAGCTCTGAGCCTGATGAAGTTGGGCTTTTGTTTAAAGTTGGGTGTTATTAATAAGCAGATGATAGGTGATATAAGGAAGCAGGTAAGATCGTCTGAACAGTCGAGTGTACAAACACTTTTTTCACTGCTGTGGCACAAGGCCCAACCAAAGCGACCGAAGGAAGGCTTTATTTTGGTTCAGTTTGAGGACACGGGCCATTATGGAAGGGACGATGTGATGGCTAGGGCCATTCTAGCTCTGGTGGCAGAAGTGACAGCTGGTCGTATCATGTGCATAGTTAAGAGGCAGAGAGAGAGAGAGTTAGTGGAATACTTGGTGATCTGCTTGTTTTCTCTTTTTCAAGTTCAGCTTAGGACTTGAGTACATGGTGTTTTTGCTGTTCAGGGTAGGCCGTGCTACTCAGTTAAACCTCTCTTGAAATTCCTTCCCAAAAGTTTGTATTCTAGGTGATTCTAAATTCAGTAAAGTTGACAGTCATGATTAATCATCACAAGAGTTTAGGGTTAGGCAGGCGAGAGCGCAGTGGGTAAGGGTGCTAGCTGCCAACTCTGACAACCTGAGTTTGATCCTCAGGATAACAGGGTGAGAGGAAAGAATCACCTCTTATAAATTACCTTCCAACGTCAATATTCCTGCCATGGTATGTTGTGAGCTCACACACATACACACAAATATATAAGTAAACGAAATTGAAAAAATGAAGTTAGGATTGCATTTAGAGGAATTGCCAAGATCTGATGAAGATAGAGAATGTGAGAAAAGCGGCAGAGAGGAGGCAGTGTTAGCAAACCAAGGAGGGAATGGCCAATGGGTCCCAAAATATAAAAAAACGCCATTGAGTTTAATGAGACAGAAGCCACCTATAACCTTACGCCTTTTTGTGAAGTGGAGTAGTGGACACAAATCTGATTTGGACTCAGTTAATATTTGTTTCCAGTCACCCTTTAGTTTCGTTGAGAAGTATCATCTGCACATTAATTATTTTAGCTTTACTAATTACTTTTTTTTCCTTTGTTTCAAGACAGGGTTTCTCTAGGTAACGGCTCTAGCTGTCCTGGAACTAGCTCTGTAGATCGGGCTGACCTTGAACTCACAGAGATCTGCCTACGTTGGCTTCTCACGTGCTGGGATTAAAGGTGTGCACCACCACCACCACCACCACCACCACCACCACCACCACCACCACCACCACCACCACCACCACCTCCCGGCCTTTACTTATTACTTAAATATCCCAGAAAAAATTATTTAGGGAGGGAGAGATGGGTCAGCGGTTAAGAACACTGGCTGTTCTTGCAGAGGATCTGAGTTCAATTCCCAGCAACCACATGGTGGCTTCCAACCCTCTTCTGGCACGCAGGCAGAACACTATATACATAATAAATGAATCTTTAAAAAATTATTATTTAAATAGCTCGAGTGATTCCACTGGGCATCCATTCTTAGTAACTTAAGTTGCTTAATGGACGACTATGAATCTGCCCTTCCTCAATTAGTTTCAGTTTTTCTAAGTCTCTTTCAGCATAAGCATTTTGTTATGCTGAGTGATTCAAACATTTAAGGATACAGTGTGTATTTTTCACAGTCTGGCCTCTACATGCAAGCCAACTTCTTCATCTGGTTTTCACATAAAACCAGCCATCTCTTAGCCAACGAAGAAAAGCAGGTTGTGCTGAGTTTATTGGGACCATCTATCGATCTCCAACAGGGCACTCTCCCAGGGAACTCTCTGGGGTTATTCGGACTATCTGCCCTCTCCTTCTTAGGTACTGGCTTCAGAATGGGTTTTAAATGGCACACGGAAGAGAATGTCCGTGTGTACTCACTGGGCTGAGGGCAGCCCAGTTCAGACTATACCCTAGAGGTTAGACACTCTGATGCTTAATTTTCTATGCCCCTAAAGTGTGCAGGAAGCCTAAAAGTCCTGTACTTGACCGTGGCCTTGTTCATGCAGGGCTTAACCTTTGGCCTACTTGACTCGGAATACTTCCATCTCCTTACAGCTGACTGCTTGTAAATGTCTTTTCCTCAAGAAGAGTAAATATAGTAGAGACTTTAAATGCAAACAAGTGATGATTGCTATACACAATTAGAAGAAAAAGCAAAATGAGTTAGTTTCTCCTACCCACAGTCTCAGGTTGAATTTTGGAAGCAAAATTCTGCCCTCTACTGTAAGGGAATGGCTTCAGCATTGTCAGTAGCTTGCACAACAGGAGGCTACGGGCAAAACAAAATCAGAGAAGCAAATACTGCCAACTTTTGGGGCACGGTGGTTAAGGGCCATGCTATAAGACCCTACCAAGCCTGAAATTGGCTTCGTAGACCGGGATGGCCTCGAACCTGTGGCGACCCTCTGGCCTCTGCATTCCAAGCACCGGATTCCAGGCGTGCACCAACATCCGGAACTACCTCCAGGAAATCCCAATTCTGCACGGTGACTACCTGCGGGCAGCCGGGCAGCAAGCACACCGTGATTCGGAAGCGGAAAGTCTGTGCTTTGCTTGCTTGCGCTCGGTCCTCCGCGGAGCTCAGGGGGACGCGCTGGCGGGGTGGGGGGAAGGGGGGCGTTTACCTGCTGCCGGTCCCCACCAGGTACGTGTTGGTGCCTTGCAGGGTCATGGGACCCGGGTTACAGCCCAACACGCGCACCACCCGGCTGGACAGCCGCTCGATGCGCTGCAGGGCGGTAGCCATCTTCAGCCCGGCCGACCGACCGCCGGCGACGAGTTAGCTTGTCACTCGGTGCGCAGCGCGCCCGGGGCCCGGTGGGCGGGGCGGCGGTCACGTGACGCCGCGGGAGGAGGCGGTCCGGAGCGGATTGGCAGCCGGCGGGGGCGGGGCCGTGACGGAGGCCCCGCCTGCCTGGCAGCCGCCGGAGGGTGTTTGCGGTGGCCGTGGGCTGGGGTGGCCTGGGGTGGCCTGGGGTGGCCTGGGGTGGCCTGAGGAGGCCTGAGGAGGCCTGAGGTGGCCTGGAGGGGCGTGACAACCCGCAGAGGCGAAGCGGAATGCCGGCTCCGTCGTCGTGTCCCTGCGGACTTTGCACCCAAGCAGTCGAGCATAGTCACCAGGATGAGTGACTGACGTTAGTTCATTGGGAAGTTAACCTGCGGGGGTGGGGGGTGGATTAGGATAGGCAGGGGTGGGGTAGTTCATGAGTCCCCACCCCAGGAAGGAGTGGCGGGCTGGGTTTTGGGCAGTGGCGGGGTGTGCGATTGAAGAATAACTTAGCTTTCATAATAAACGGTGCAACGGAGGCTTACCTAGCATTCCTACCTGAGTGCTTCTTGCCAAGGCCTCTCCCCGTCCCCTTTTAAATCCTCAACAATAAAACAAAAATTGTGTGCGTACCTGTGGAGGCCAGAAGACCACCTCAGGTGCCATCCTCAGGCCGTCCGTCCGTCTACCCCTCACCAGCTCAGCTCCATGGGCCAGCTGTTCACAGCTTCGGGAGATCCCTGTCTCCCCAGGACAGGTATTGTAAAAATGTGACACCACGCCCCACATTTTTATGTAGGTTCTGTGGGATCAAACGCAGGTCGTCACCATGTTTACAAGGTAAGCTCTTTACCAACTGAGCTATGTCCCCAGCCCCCATTAATCCTCAACTCTTAGAATCCCATGTGGTCCCTAACACGTTATCAGGCACAATTTATCCCCACTTTATAAATGTAAAACGGAGTCTGGAAGACCCCAGCTCTGCGTTTGGGCCTCTGTTTCTACTTGGTTAGCAGCAGCAATGCATGATCGATCCCATTTGTGGAGAGTGGAGGAGCCTGACTGTCTTCCTCTCTATCCTACCACTTCCACAGGGAAATAGGTTAGAATTGTATCCAAGATGAAAGTGGCTTATTTTCTCTGTAATATTTTTCTTTTTTTTTTGGGCTTTTTTTTTTTTTTTTCTTTTTTGGTTTTTCCAGACAGGGTTTCTCTGTGTGTAGCTCTGGCTGTCCTAGAACTCACTCTGTAGATCAGGCTGGCCTTGAACTCACAGAGATCCGCCTGCCTCTGCCTCTTGAGTGCTGGGATTAAAGGTCTGCACCACGACCGCCCAGCTAATAAAGTATTTTTCGACAAATATTAACTATCGATTCCCACTTTAAAAATTTGAGTTCTACTTTAATCTCAGTATGAGCATAGAGACCTGGAGGTCTGTATAGACAGGCAGTGACAAGGAAGTCATATGGTTGGGTTTAGAACCAATGAGAAGGCAGAACAGAAAGGCAATAAAAAATCAGGACACAGGAAGAAGGTCTCTCACTCAGGAAGGACAGCAGAGAGTGGTAAGATAAGGTGGTCTTAGCTCTTGGCTTTTAACTCTTCAAAAAAAAATTTGAGTTCTAAGCTACCTACAAGAAACTGCCCAGGTTCTATAATCTCCATCAAGTTATAACATGTATACAACCAAAGAGATGTAGAGCACATTCACTGCCTTAGCCTACTCCTTTTAGAAATAATTGAGTGATTGACACTTTGGTCTGACTTTTAGGATAGTCAGTTTTAATTATTCATTCTTTACGGAAGAAATGACTTCACAAATTAACAGTTCAATATTTCAGAGTAGTTCAAATATATGTTTGCTATGTGGAATAAATTTGTTTTGTGTCTCAAGAATGAGCTTAATTTGAAAAGCGTTATTGAAATTATTTTGTGATATTTATGATGTACAATATGTCCTTTCAAGAGGACTTGGGGTACCCATCAAAATCGTTTATGTCAGGTGTTTTCATTCTACCAATATTTATTTATTTATAGCAAATGTGGATGATGAGTGCTGGAAACTGCAACCGTGGAACTCTGTGCATAGCTCGCCGGTAGCCCTGCAGTCCACACGTCTTTTTCCGTGGTTTGGCAGGTCAGAGTCGCCATCCATGCTGGGGTGGACTTTCTGGTGACACAGCTACTTCTGAGTCATCCCTGCTTGGAAGTGACCTCTCACCCATACTCCTGTTGGTAACCCCAGAGAAAAAACTCACGGGTTCATTAAGTTGGACATTGATGCAGCTGTCACTTTGGACTGTCGTGTTGTGTCTCTCTGGGAAAAGTCCACCACAACACTTTTTACCAGAACCAAAGATGAGTTCTGCCTGACAGAACCAAAGATGAGTTGGGGAGGCAGGATGACCTGGTGCTGGCTATTGGGGGAGCAAGGCATGCAACCGCGGCTGAGCAGCCTGAGGGGGAAGCGTCCCTGGAGGAAGTTCCAAAACAGCTGTCCTTTTGCACATCCTGTGTGTTACTGTGTCCCGTTTGGCTGGGCTAGTGAGAGCCCAGGAGTTAGACTCTGTTAGGCAGACAGATAGGGAGAGGGGCCGCGACTAGGTAATAAAAGAGGCGAATTTTCAAGATGTCCAGCTTCTTCCTTACTTTCCTGACTTGATTCAAAAGCCTGGCAGCTTCAAACAAGGTTTTGTGGACTTCTGTCTCCCACCAGCGAGCCCTGCTGATGGACTGGCTCCATGAGGTCAAGGCCTGCTCAGGACATGTCACAACAGTTCTGGATGAATCAACCATTCTAGCTTTATTTAAACTGACCAACCCTGAATTAGGGGAGGAAAGCTCCTCTGAGGCTTTTAAGCCCCCAGCCCTCGAGAAGGGACAGGATTTTTTACTGAGTCCCCCGACCTGCTTTTCAGAGGGTCTTTTTCTCTGTGTGTCTGCTGTACATGTGTGTCTCCTCACCACCAATAAACACCTTCCTTCCACGGCTGATTCTGTCTGCGGTGCTGGAGATTCTCTGCTACCTCTTGAGCTTCAGATTTTCCTGCCTTTTAGTTCTTTAAGTGGCAGAGAAAATGAACCCGGTCAACACCCCTAGACTGCATCACAGGTGGTTCCTTCCATTCCATGGTCGTGAGATATGCGACTGAGGCTGAGCCGGCAGGGTCTGGAGTGTCCACAGGGGGAATCCTAATGTGGTGACCTTGTCTCAGACTGTATGAGATAGCATGTCTTCTTGCTCTGTCAGGGGTCACACAGCCCCCCCCCCCCCAGCAAGTGCCCAGACACACAACCAAGGCTGAATTCTCTACACAGAAGAAACATGGGGGGGGGGCAGTCTGTGGGAGAAATCCCAGTGAGGCTGTCCTCCTTGGTGGAGGATGGGATGGCGTGCCTACTTGATGAGTGGCCATCCTTTCCGTTGCTGTTTAGAAGCCCTTAATTTCATGTAATCCAGTTTGTCAATTCTTGGGTTTATTTCTTGTGTAGTCCAGTTCAGAAAATCCTTAACTCTGCCCACATCTTGAAGTATTTCATCTATGATTTCCTCTAGCAGTTTCAAGATTTCAAGTCTCGTATTGAGAGCTTTGGTCTATTTTGAATTGCTTCTTCCACAGAGTGAGAAATATGGATCTAGTTTCATCTGTTTACTTGTGGAAACCCAGTTTTTCAGCATTATTTCTTGTTTGCTTTTTTTTTTTTTTTTGTGTGTGTGTGTGTGTGTGTGTGTGTGTGTGTGTGTGTGTGTGTGTGTTTTAGAGACAGGGTTTCTCTGTGTTATCCTGACTGTCCTGGAGCTTGCTCTATGGACTAGGCTGGCCTCTAACTCAGAGATCTGCCTGGCACTGCCTCCCAAGTGCTCAGCACCAAGTTATGCTGTAACCGTGGCTGTCTTCCTGGGCTCTCTCGTCTGTTCTTTGGTCTGCCTGCTTGCTCTTGTGTCCACACCACACTGTGTTTGCTATCATGGCTCTGTGCTGTAACCGTGGCTGTCTTTGGTCTGCCTGCCTGCTCTTGTGTCCACACCACACTGTGTTTGCTATCATGGCTCTGTGCTGTGATTGGAGATGGGCTATGTTCATACCTCAGCATTGCTCTTTTTACTTGAACCGTGTGTTGTTTTTTGTGCATCTGTGTGAATTTTAGGACTTTTACCGAATGCTGTGGAGAAGTCATTGGGCATTGGATGGGAGTACATTGAATTTGTAGATCATTTTTGGTAACACAGCCATTTTCACAATTCAATCTGCCTGTCCATGAGCATGAGCAGTTTTTCCATCTTCTAGTGTCTTAAGATTTTTATTGTAAAGCAGGGTGGTGAGGGCACACACCTTTAATCCCAGCATTTGGGAGGCAGAGCCAGGCAGATCTTTGTGAGTTTGAGGCCAGCCTGGGCTACAGAGCAAGATCCAGGGTAGGCACCAAAACTATACAGAGAAACCCTGTCTTGAAAAAACAAAAAACAAAAAAACAAAAAAAAAAAAGATTTTTATTGTAGAGTCCATTCAGTTTTAGTTCCTTGGTTAGATTTGTTCCTAGGCATTTTATTTATTTATTGTTTGAAGCTGTTGTGAATAGGATATTTCCTGTATCAAATGACATTTTCTTAACTGTTAAGTGATAAATATGTTAAAGCTTGGAGTCTAAACATAAAGAAGGAAATGTGCTATTTCTCCCCAGTAGGGACTCTTATCAACAGATTGGAGAAGGCTACATGTGACTAACAGGTGATTTTGGTTTCATTTTAGTGTTCGATCCAAAAGGATTATACGCTTGTTATCCTTGTGTTCAGTCAAGAAATAAAATCTCTAAGGTGAGGATTTTAAAGACGGGGCACTGAATTAAAGAAGACTTTTAGATTTGTCACAAGTAAGTCTAGTTTTACATGAATTAAGTTGGGTTGATTAAGTGAAACTTTCCTAGTTTTAATTTTTTTAAAATAACTGCTTTATAGCAGGGTGATCCTGTACTAGGGCAAAGGTTATATATTTTGGCTGGCAGCCAACTAGCCATACAGCCGGGCATTAAGTCCGTAAGTAGAAGCCACATTTTGTAGGTGGTGGTTTCACTCGGGTGGTACTGGAACGCTGATCAACTGTGGAGGTAAAGATGGGCTATCTGTAATACAAGTTATAAAACTATAGTTATTCAGAGAGTTGTGTGATGTCTTTATGATGGCTATGTTGTTTACCAGGTTGCTGTGTAGACTCGCTTCCTGTTGGAATTCTGTTCTGTCTGACTGAATCAGTAATGTGGACATTGCTATGTTAACAAGTCTGTTACTTAACATTCTGATAATAATACAGTTTTGTTTTTTAGAAATGACTCTACCTTGTAAAAATGTTAACAAAAAGCTGTTGGGGTTTTACTTAATCATGTCAGGTAATGGGAGCTCTCTTTAGGGATGGACTGATAAATATGCACACAGACTACTTAGGTGTGTAATCGTCTATAACTGAGTAAGTTAGTTACATTAAAAATCCTATGTGAAGTTTCAGCTTAACTATTGCATTTTGGTCAACTTTTAATATTCTGAATTCATCTGATTATAAATCGTTTTGCTGGAAGAGTCTGGAGAAGGAATTTAAGATTTTTACTTTGGTTCAATAAGTAGAGTGTAATACCTTCTAGGATTATCCTGTGGACTTTTAAACAGAGTGTGTACAAGTGGGAAATGATATGAAACAGTAGTACTGTGTGTGTGTGTGTGTGTGTGTGTGTGTGTGTGCGTGCGCGCGTGCATTTTTGTGATTCTTTCCTTTACAGTACTAAAAGTTTTTTTTTAGAGAGAGTTCAGGTTCCCATGGAGAACACCACTGACTTATCGGATTACAATTTTACTGCACTTGTAGAGACTGAAGTCCAAGATGAAGGAGCTGCAGGGGTGGTTCCTGGACAGGCTGTCTCTCTAGTTGCAGATGGCTGTCTCCTTGCTACATCCTCTATTCTCACATGGCCTTTTCTCGGCTGTTTTTTCCTCCCCCTGTCCCCCTTTCCCCTCTTCTTTTCTCCCTACACCCCTTTTTGAGGCATGGAGGGTCAAACCCAGGACCTCCTCCTAGGCAAGTTTTCTCTGAACGGAGCTGCATCACCAGTCCTTCTAAGACTAGTCAGATAGGTTGTTTTCTCTAAGAGTTCCCATCTCCCAATAGGTCATACTTGGGAATTGGGGATCTGATATGTGAAATTTGAGGAGAAAAGGTTTAATCTATAGCATATGGTAAAGAATGATGAAGAAAAGCAATCTTCTGAAATGTCATTCATTCCACAGATAAAACCACAGTTGACATATAAATTTTTTTGTTTTTTATGTTTTTTGTTTGGTTTTTGGAGACAGGGTTTCTCTGTGTAGCTTTGTGTCTTTCCTGGAAATCACTTTGGAGACCAGGCTGGCCTCAAACTCACAGAGATCTGCCTGCCTCTGCCTCCCAAGTGCTGGGATTAAAGGCGTGCGCCACCACTGCCCAGCGACATATAAAGTATTTATCATCATATTTCCTTTGTGTTTCAAACCTCTGAGATCACACCGTGAAAAAGAACCTTTTCAGTTATAGAAAATTAAGTCAGTTGGGAAGCTCGGCTGTTTCCACAGACAATCAGGCATATAGCAAATAATAACCACCATTTCTTGAGTCCTGTGTGCCAAGTACTTTTCTAGGGAGTTCTATGGGCTGTATGGATTATCTTTTTTTGTTTGTTTCTCTGTGTGTAGTCCTGGCTGTCCTGGAACTCACTCTGTAGACCAGAATGCCTCTGCCTCTCAAGTGCTGGGATTAAAGGCGTGCACCACCACCACCACCACCACAACCACCACCACCACCACCACAACCACCACCACCACCACCACAACCACCACCACCACCACCACTACCACCACCACCACTCGGCTGTGGGTTATCTTTTTTAGCCTTCGGGACAACTCAATAAAGCAAAGCTTAACTTTTCCCATTTGTGATCCATGAAATTTTTATGCAGCTTCACACATCTAGGCAAACAAAAATCAATATCAGATCAAACATTTACTGATACTAAATTATAGAGAAAATTTGTTTTACTATAATTTTTAATAGACATATCATTTTATCCTTTATTAAAGATTAAAGAAAATTTCAATAACGATAAGATGGATGTGCTTGTTTCTTTTTCCATGTGGAATTCTCTCTTGGCTGAATATTTGCACTGCGGGATAAAGAGCGTCTTCAAGTTTTGGAGTTGATAGATATTTTATAACTGTCAGTGTCGAGAATCTCACTTTTCATAGATACTTAGTACAAAGTGGCAGAGATATGTTTAGTGACATTTTAGTACTTCTGCCCTAGTCCCAAGTCAAAAGCTACTTATCTATTTTTTTAAATGAAACTTTAAGAGTAATTTTTAAAATCAAACACTAGAACACAACAAAATCCAAAGAGACACAAATAATGATAGTTACATGCTGGGGAATGAAGGTGGGAAAATGTTCAAAATCTTTGTTTTCTATAATTAAGTCATTGCTACTGTAAGAGCATCAGACTTTATATATATTGTAAGAATGTTGCAGTTCATAGAATACAATATTCTTAAATCTGAGCCAAAGTATAGCAGACAGATATCTGGATTTGTTTGTTTGTTTTATTTGGTGAACTACTGGTAATTAGGAAAAACAAAACAAAACAAAAATGCTTGAGTCAGATAAGTCTTGCTATTAAACTGCATTCAGAACATTAATACAGCAGGGATCATAATAGTATCTACCTCCTACATTTGTTAAAAGAACTATTTTTAGCTCAATGTCAGTCACCTTGTGCTCAGTGAGTGTTAGCTCAGAGGGAGGATAAACATTTTCTTATTAACTCAAATTACTCGTGTTATTTAATGCTGCTTTCCTCTTAAAATAACATGCAAGTACATGTATATATTGTCAAAATTCAAACAACATAGAAGCATAACAATCAATGACTGAAGTTGTATTTTCTTCCCATGCTCATTTCCCTTCTCGCTCCTTATATAGTTAAAAACTATAATTACCATTTATCTTTCATTTTGTTCACTGAGTATGTTCTAGAGATCTTCTGAGATCATCTAAAATGAACTTACTTAGTATTCTTAAAGATTGCACCATTTGGCTATTAATATGTATCACAGTTTATTGAAGTAGGCTTCTCATTTAGGTAGTTTTCAGTTTTTACTATTATAAAAGAGTACATCTCTCTGTGCCTATTTATAAACATAACTCTAGCCTGGAACCCTGCATGGAATTTCTGGTTCAAATGCATATTGAGAATTTTCATAGCTATTGTACTGTTGTTAAGTGTATTTTGATACTTTTTTAATGGTCTTATTTTATTATAAAGAAATGGCTTTCCTTACAATATTGTTTTTGTTGTTGCTGTTTTGTTTTTTTGAGACAGGGCTTCTCTGTATAGCCCTTCATTCTGTAGCCCGGGCTGACCTTGAACTCAGAGATCCGCCTGCCTCTACCTCCCGAGTGCTGGGACTAAAGGTGTGCGCCACCACCGCCCAGCCCTTATGTTACTCTTATGCATGTATATCATGTATGCCAATCTAACTCACTTCCCCACAACTACTTCCTTTCCCCTCTTCACCTCGTCTACTGTCCTCTTCTCTTTCCAAATTTTGAGTCCCCTGTAAAAGTCTAGATTCTGCATATGAGAGAAAACATGCAATGTTTGCCTTTCCAAGGCTTCTTTTACTTAACACGATAATCTTTCAACTCCACTCATTTTCTTGCAAATGACTGAATCATGCTCTGTTGTATAGTTATTCCACATTTTCTTTATCCATTTACTTGTTGATAGACATCTATGCTGATATCTACAAGAGGAACTTCCATTCTGATTTCTGTAGTGACTACAGATATTTATATCCACCCTAAAAGTATATGAAGGTTTCTTTCATGCCACATCCTCACCAGTATTATTTGTTGCTTGAATACTTGATGATTTAACATTCTGATTGAGTGGGGTGGAATCTCAATGTGGTTATTTATTTAAGATTTATTCTTTATTTGTATTTATGTGAGTGAGTGCGTGCGTGCGTGCGTGCGTGCGTGCGTGCGTGTGTGTGTGTGTGTGTGTGTGTGTGTGTGTGTGTGTGTGTTTTGCATATATCTGAGTTAGTGCCCTGGGACCCAGGAGAACAGTCAGATCCCCTGGAACTGAAGTTAACAAGCAGTAGTCAGTTGCCTGATGTGGGTGTTGGAAACTGGTGGGTGTTGGAAATCAGACCCAGGCAGGCCCTCGGCTGGGCAGTAATGCGTGCTCGCACTGGCTGAGATCTCTCTCGCTCTGTCAGTGTAGCTTTGATGGACATTTCCAAAATGGCTATGGATGCTGAACATTGTAAATATGTTTATTGACTAGTTTTATTCATTTTTTTGAGAACTATCAGTTAAGTTCATTTTTTCATTAGTTAGATAATTTGTTGTTTTAATGTTTAATTTTTCTAGTTTTTAAAAAATAGACTCTAGGTATTAATCCCTAATAAGTGACAAAGATTTTCCTGCCATTCTTCAGATTGTATCTTTAATCTAGTAGATGTTTCCTTTTCTGTGAAAGCGCTCTTTAGTTTCACTCTGTCCTAGTAGTCAATTCTTGCTATTATTTCCTGAGTCTTTGGAGTCCTTTTCAGAAAGTCCTTGTCTGTGCCTGTGGCTTGTTTTTTCCTCCGAAGTTCTATTAATTACAAAGCCAACTCCTACATTAAGGTCTTTGATGTATTGGGATTGATTTTTGTACAAGGTGAGAGACAGGAGTCTAATTTCATTCTTCCAGGTGTGGACATCTGGATCTCCCAGCACCATTTCTTGACAAGGCTGTCTTTCCCCTCTGGAGTGGTTTTGACACTTGTGACAGATCTGCCTGCTGCTGCTGTGTGGGCTTACTTCTGGCTCCTGTGGGCTGACCTATTGGTGTACATGTATGTTTTTTGTGCCAGGCCTGTGATTTGATCAGGTAACATTTAGGTAGCTTGCATTTTTTTTTGCCAATATAAATGGTTCTATAATAAATACTTTTGTGAGAAGACATAGTTTTAAATGATAAGTACCTGAGTTTGAGATGACATTATCAACTAGTAACTATATTCCTGAGACTTGACTTTTCTAAGAAGTGTATTTCGTGCTACATTTAGCGATATGGGATCATAAAATCATGGGCCAGGCTTTATTGTTAAGAGTTAGAAACATGTTTTTGTTTTGTTTTAGACATCGTTATCTGTAATGAAGATCACGGTAGAAGAGAAGATACGGCAAGGCCTTCGTGTACCACTGGATCTGGATTAGAGATTTTTTAAAAAGAAAGTTAAAATTGTTTACTTTTGTTTAGTGTTCCAATTCATAATATTTATTTATTTATTTTTGGTATTTGGGACTGAATATAGGACTTCATGAATGTTAGATATACACTCGGTCCCTGAAGTCTATACCCATATTCCTTTCTCTAAGTATACTAAAAGTAGAAATTAAAATTAAAATTCAGTGCTAAGTCACAGGATAAAATATTATTCATTCTGGAATTTCCCCCCTGCCTATTTTTGTATCTGAAAAAGAGTAGCTAACCAAGAGCCTTAGTCATTCATAATGAAATACACCAAATGCAACTTTGCGATGTCGGTTTTTGGCATTATGATCTATGTGACTGACTTGGTTGCGGACATCCTCCTATCTGCTAGGTATTTCCATGATGGACAATATGTGTTTGGTGTTTTAACTTTAAGTTTCGTGCTTTGTGGAACACTCATAGTCCAGTGTTTTAGCTACTCGTGGCTGAAGGATGATTTAAAGAAAGCAGGACAAGAAAGCGAGCGTTATTTTCTTCTACTTCATTGCTTGCAAGGAGGAGTTTTTACAAGGTGAGTGCAAATGTTTATCACCAGCATTGTTATTTTATCCGTTTTTAAATTTACATAGTCAAATGTGGAAGGTTCCCCATTTGCAAGTAGGGCACATATCACATGCTTCCTGCCATCAGTTTTTATGTACAGCTTTTTTTTTTTTCTCTCCAGACAGGGGTTCTTTGTAGAACCCTGGCTGCCCTGGATCTCGCTCTGTAGACCAGGCTGGCCTCGAACTCACAGAGATCACCTGCCTCTGCCTCTCGAGTGCTGGGATCAAAGGCGTGCGCCACCGCCCGACTCATTGCTGAACTCTTAGACCTTCTCTGGATTCGTTAACAGTGCCTTCTCTGTCATCACTCTCCCCATCCCCTGCCCGTTACCCTCTGCAAGTGCTTTGAATGGGATGGTATAGCTGGATCTTTAGGTAGGTAGATCTACACCCAACTTCCTGAGGCACTGACACACTCTTTTCCATAGTGGGTGTACAAGTTTGCACTCCCACCAGCGATGGATGGGGGTTTCCTGTTCCCCACACCCTCGCCAGCATGTGCTCTCAATTGTTTTATTGATATTGGCCATATTGACTGGTAAAAAATGAAATCTCAAAGTATTTTTAATTTATGTTTCCTTGATACTAAAGAACACTGAACATGTCTTTAAGTGTTTCTCAGCCATTTGTGTTTCATCTTTTGTTTAATTCTGTACCTCATTTAAAAATTTGGTTATTTGTTTTCTTGCTGGTTAGGTTTTTAGTTCTTTATATATTTTAGATACTAACCTTTTATCAGGTGTATAATTTGTAAAGACTCTTTCCCTTTCTGTAGCCAGCCTTCTGCTTTGCCTGAACGATGTGTCTAATATTTGCCGTACAGAGATTTTTAGCTTCACGAGGTCCCACTTATTAGTGGTGGATCTTAATGTCTGTGCTGCCAGTGCCCTGTTCAGAAAGATCGCCCTGTGCAAATGAGTTCACGCCTATTTTCCACTTTCTTTTCTATCGGATCCAGTGTATCTGGCTTGTGTTTAGGTCCTTGATCCATTTGGAGTTGAGCTTTGTGCAGGGCGATGAATATGGATCTATTTGTATTCTTCTACATGCAGCCACCCAGCTGACCAGCACCATTTGTTGAAGATGCTACTTTCCTTCGGGGTGCCTTTTTGGATTCTTTGCAAAAAAAAAAAATATGGTGTCTATAGGTGTGTGGACTTATATTTAGGTCTTCAGTTTGATTCCATTGATCAACATGTCTCTTTTTATCCCATGTTATTTTATTACATATAGCTCTGTAGTACAACTTAAAATCTGGGACTGTGACACCTCTAGACATTATTTTATTATTCAAAATTGTCTTAGTTATTTTTGTGTGTTCCTATATAAAGATGAAAATTGTTTAATTTTTGTGAAGAATTGTACTGTAATTATGATGGCGATTGTGTTGAATCTGTAGAATGATTTTGGTAGAATGGTCACTTTCACAATATTAATCTTACCAGTCCACGAATGTGGAAGATCTTTCTATATGGTGGTATCATCTTCAATTTCTTTCTTCAATGTCCTAAAGTTTTTATTCTACAAATCTTTCACTTGTTTCATTAGTGTTATCCCAAGATGTTTATATTTCTGAGGCTATGAAATGTACTGCTTCTTTGATTTCTTTCTCAGTTTGTCATTTGTATAGAGGAAGGCTACTAAGTTTTCTGCGTTAACTCTATATCCTGCTACTTTTCTGAAAGTGTTTATCAGCTGTAGACATTTCCTGGTGGAGCTTTTAGTTGTTTTGGTTTTTTTTTAAATATATAAAATCATATAATCTGCAGATAAAAATACTTTGACTTCTTCCTTTCCGTTTTTTTTTTTTGTGGGGGGGGGAGGTTTAGAGACAGGGTTTCTCTGTGTAGCTTTGCTCCTTTCCTGGAACTCACTTGGTAGCCCAGACTGGCCTCGAACTCACAGAGATCCGCCTGGCTCTGCCTCACGAGTGCTGGGATTAAAGGCATTCACCATCACCGCCCGGCCCTTTCCAATTTTGTATCCCCTTGATCGTCTTCAATTGTCTTATTGCTTTAGCTAAGACTTTAGTTACTATGTTGAATAGGTAAGGAGAGTGGACAACCTTGTCTTATTCCTGATTTTAGTGGAAATGTTTTGTGTTTTTCTCTGTTTAGATTGATGTTGCCTGTAGGCTTGCTGTAAATCGTATTTCTTATATTCCTTGTATATCCTTTGTATCGCTGGTCTCTCCAGGACTTTTATCATGGAGGGATGTTAGATTTTTGCCAAAGGCCTTTTCTGCATCTAATGATATCACCATATATCTTTTCCTTGCAGTCTGTTTATGCAGTGGATTGTTTATTGATTTAGGTATGCTAAACTATCCCTGCATTTCTGGGATGAAGCCTATGGTGGATAATCTTGATGTGTTCTTGGATTCAGTTTGGATTTTTTTTAAACTGACAATTTTTGCTTCTATGCCACAAGGGATATTGGTCTGTAATTTTTTGGTTGGGTCTTTGAGTGATTTTTGTGTCAGAGTAATAGTGGCCTCATAGAAAGAATTAGGCAATATTCCTTCAGTTTCTTCTTTGTAGAATAAATGGAAGAGTGTTAGAGTTAATGATTCATTGAAGGTCTGGTAGAATTCTGCACTGAATCAATCTGACCTTGGGCCTTTTGGAATTGTGAGATTTTTAATTACTGCTTCTGTTCCACTAGCGGTTACAGGTCTGTTTAAATTGCTTATTTGATCTTGATTTAACCTTGTTAGGCTATATATCAAAAAATTCAGCAATTTCTTTTTGGTTTTCTGGTTTGGTAAAGTACAGATTTTAAAAATATGTCAATAATGAATCTCTGAATGTCTTCCGTATCTGTTGTAATGTACCCATTTTCATCTCTAATTTTATTAATTTGCATCTTCTTTCTCTATCTTTTAGTTAATTTGGCTAAGGGCTTGTCAATCTTATTGATTTTCTCAAAGAGCCAACCCTTCATTTCATTGATTCTTTGTATTATTTATTTTGTTTTTTATTTAATTGATTTCTTCCCTGAGTTTGAATAGTTCATGCCATCTATACTTTTTGAGTGTTATTTATTCTTGTTGTTCTAGATATTCCAGGTGTGTTACTAAGTTACTAATATGAGATCTCTCTAATTTTTTTAGTGTAGCCACTGAGAGCTATGAACTTGCTTATTAGAACTGCCTTCACTGTGTCACATAGGCTTGGGTATGCTGTATTTTCATTTTAATTCAATTTTAAAAGTTTATTTTCATCCCCATTTCTCTCTTGACCCATTTCTTTTATACTTTCTATTGTTGATATCCAGCTTTAATTTGTGGTGGTCAGATAGGATGCAGGGTGTTATTTCAAGTTTCTTATATTTGCTGAGACTTGCTTTGTGCCCAAGTTATGTAGTCAATTTTGAAGAAAGTTCCATGAGGTGCTGAAAAGAAGTTATATTCTTTTGTATTTGGGTGAAATGTTCTATAATATCTGTTAGGTTTATTTGATTTATGATGTCAGTTATCTCTAGCATTTTTCTGTTTTGTCTTGATAACTTCTTGGTTGGCAAGAGTGGGATATGGAAGGCTCCCACTATCAGCGTATCCAAGTTCATATGTAATTTAAGCTGCAGTAGTGTTTCTTTTATGAACTTGGGTGCCCCATGTTTGGTGTGTACATGTTTATAATGACATTATTCTTTTGGTAGATTTTTCTGTTAATGAGTATGTAGTGTCTTTCTCTATCACCTGTGATTAGTTTTTGACTGTTAAAATGGCTACACCTGCTTGCTTTTTGGGTCTACTTACTTGGAATATCTTTGTCCATCCTTAACCCCTAAGGTGATATTAAGGTTTATTTCTTGGATATAGCAGAAAGATAAATCCTGTTTTATAATCCAATCTGCTAATCCATGTCTTTTGTTTGGGGGAATTGAGACCATTAATATTGGGTACTATGAATGAATAGTATTTATTTTGTTGTTATGGTGTACGTTTTTCTCCCTGTTTTTATTCTATCCTGACATTTATCAATTCTGTCTTCTTGAGTATTGTTATCCTCTTCAGACTGAGGTTCTTTTTAGTGTTGTCTATAGAGCTGGATTGGTCGATAGATACTGCTTAAATTTGGTTTCATTGTGGAATATTTTCTTTCTTTGTCAGTTGTGATAGTTTTGCTGGGTATAGTAGTCTCAGCTGGCATCTGAAGTCTCAGAATTTGTGGAACATCTTTACAGGCCTTCTGGCTTTTAGAGTTTCCATTGAGGAGTGGGGTATTATTCTAATAGGTCTGCCTTTATATGTTATTTGTTCTTTTTCCCCTGCAGTGTTAGCTTCTTGTTAACAGCAAGAACTCCATTTTGCTCCAGTTTGTTCTACTCTAAGCTGGTACCCAGTTCATGAGACTGGGCTACAACCCCCAACCCCCTTGTGCAGGTGTCTAGAATAAGGCCAAACACTAACATTCAATTCTCCTCTGGGTGGGTGGTCCAGAGCTGAATCTGGGGTGCCAAACCACATAACTCCCTTATAGGCTGGAAGTGTACCACTAAGGAAAGTCCCCAACCACTTCTCTCCACATTGCATTATGATTGGTCAGGACTCAGGAACTGCCTTTTTGTGGTTTTTCCCTTTAAAACTGGCTGCTGCCCTTGCCTTGGGGACATGGTTTGGAGCTTGATCCCTGCTGCCTCCCTATCAGTTTTTCTGAATAAATGTTTGGCTTGCTCAAACCTGTTTTTTTTTTTTTTTTGATTCTTGGACCCTAACAGCAGTTTTTAATATCCCTATTTGTTGTTGTTGTTCTATCCATTTAGTGTTTTGATTATTGTGTGTCATGGGAGATTTCTTTTCTGGTCCCATTTATTTGGTGTTTTTATATACTTCTTATATAAAGATACTAGGTATCTTCTTCTTTTTTTTAGATTTATTTATTTATCATGTATACAGTGTTCTGTCTGCATATGTCCCTGCAGGCCAGAAGAGGGCACCAGATCTCATTACAGGTGGTTGTGA